TCAAGCCTGTAATCCCAGCACTTGGGAGGCCAAGATGGGCGGATCACGAGGGTCAGGAGATCGAGACCATCCTGGGCTAACACGGTTGAAACCCCGTCTCTACTAAAAAATACAAAAAAAAATAGCCAGGCGAGTGGCGGGCGCCTGTAGTCCCGGCTACCCTGGAGAGGCTGAGGCAGGAGAATGGCATAAATCCGGGAGGCGGAGCTTGCAGTGAGCTGAGATCCGGCCACTGCACTCCAGCCTGGGCGACAGAGCGAGACTCTGTCTCAAAAAAAAACAAAAAAAGTCAACTGTCAAACTGTCACCTTTCTTTTCCTTTTCTTCCCTCCCTTCCCTCAACACAATCATGTTTGAGGCCAAAGCTATTTATAATTCTTGGAGTGACTGACTTTAAAAGGCTTTTGACAAGCAGTCTAGTGACCTTGATGAAAATATCTTAATCTAACAGATATACTTCTCAAATGGAATGTGGGAGGGGAGGGCATACATTAACTTTTGGTAAGCTAAAATAGCACCTTGAAAATTGAATGACCCTAGATATGGATTTAATAGTTGTACCCATTTCAGGTTATAAAAGTCCTAAGATTAAAAAAAATTTGCAAGTTCAGCTCAGGAGAGAAGAAGGTTGATATTTCTGCATCTAATGTATGCCTCTAGCTCATTAGGTAATAAGGTTTGCATTCACATTAAAATTCTTAGTGTGGTTTCAGGCTCTCCTCATTCTTGCTTTCCTCTACCCTTCTCAAATGATTTGGGACTAATCATTGGTTTCAGTTCTCTCACCAAGGGGCCCATGGCAAAAAAATCATGACTTAACAATTCAACAAGCATATCTTGAGCCTTTGTTATGAACTCAATGCCAGGGACACTGACATGGACATAGTCTCTGCTGTCAGCCCTATCTCAAAACTCTGACAGAGGCTTCTCCAGTTATATAGTTTGGATATTTGTCCCTGCCCAAATCTCATGTTGAATTGCAGTCTCCAGTGTTGGAGATGGGGCCTGGTGGGAGGTGTTTGGTTCATCCAGACAGATTCATCATGGCTTGGTGCTGTCCTCATGATGGTGAGCAAGTTCTCATGAGATCTAGTTGTTGTAAAGTGGGGCACCTATCCACCCCCTACTGTCTCTCTTGCTCCTGCTTTCGTTATGCCAAGTGCCTCCTCCCACTTCATCTTCCACCATGAGTAAAACCTCCCTAAGGTCTCCCCACAACCCAAACAGATACCAGAACCATGCTTGTATGACCTGCAGAACCGTGGACCAACTGAACCTTTTTTAAAAATAAATTACCCAGTCTCAGATATTTCTTTAGAGTAATGCAACAATGGCCTAATACAGAAAATTGATATTTAGAAGTGAGACGTTGCTATAAAGATAGATACCCAAAAATGTGGAAGCAGCTTTGGAACTAGGTGATAGGAAGATGTTAGAAGAGTTTGGACATCTCAGAAGAAGACAGGAAGATGACGTAAACTTTGCAAATTTTCAGAAACCCATTAAATGGTTGTGACCAAAATGCCAATAGTGATATGGACAATAAAATCCAGGCTGAGAAGGTTTCAGACTGAAATGAGGAATTATTGGGAACTGGAGCAAAGGTCACCCTTTTATTCCTTAGCAAAGAATTTGGCTGTATTGTATCCATGCCTTAGGAATCTGTGGAAGTTTGGACTTGAGAGTGACAACCTAAGGTATCTAGATTGAAGGAAGGAAGACATTTCTAAGCAGCAAAGGGTTCAAGATGTGGTCTGAGTGCTTCTAACAGCCTATGTTCAGATACCAGAGCACAGAAATGACTTAAAATTGAATTTATATTTAAAAGGAAAGCAGAGCATACATGTTTAGAAGATTTCTCAGCCTGACCATGTGGCAGAGAAAGAAAAAGCATTTTTCTGGAGAGGAATCCAAGAGGCTGCAGAGAAACCACTTGCTAGAGGAATTTGCATAAATAAAAGGGAGTCAAGTGCTAATAGCCAAGAAAATAGGAAAACAATTTTAAAAGCATTTCAGAGATTTTTGAGATAGCCCATCACAGAATCAAATACCTAGGAAGGAAGAATGATTTCGTGGGCCAGGCCCAGGGCTCTGCTGCCCTGCACAACCTCAGGACAATGCTCCTTGCATCCTGGCTGCTCCAGCACTAGCCATAGCTCAAAGGGGCCCAGGAGTAGCTCAGGAAGCAGCTCCAGATGGTGCAAGCCATAAGTATTGGTGGCTTCCACATGGTGTTAAGCCTTCAGGTATACAGAGTGCAAGAGTGGTGGAGGCTTGGCACCCTCCACCTAGATTTCAGGGAACATATGGAAAAGCCTGGGTGTCTAAGCTGCTTATCAGGGCAAGCCCTCACAGAGAACCTCTATTCGGGTAGTGCAGAGAGGAAATGTGGCATTGGAGTCCCCACACAGAATCCCCACTAGGACATTGCCTAGTGCAACTGTGAGAAGAGGGCCACCATCCTCCAGACCGAAGAATGGTAGAACCACTGGCAGTTTGCACCCTCAGTGTAGAAGAGCTACAGACATGCAACTCCAACCCATGAGAGCAGCCACAGGGACCGAACCCTGCAAAGCTACAGACCAGAGCTGGCCAAAGGCCTTGGGAGCCCACACCTTGTACCACTGTGTCCAGAAAGTGGGGTATAGAGTCAAAGGAGACTATTTTGGAGCTATAAGATTTATTGACTGCCCTGCTGGGTTTCAAACTTGCGTAGAGCCTGTAGCCTTTTTCTTTTGGCCAATTTTCCCCTTTTGGAATGGGAATGTTTACCCAATGCTTGTACTCACATTGTATCTTGGAAGTAAATAGTTTTGACTTTTCAGGCTTATAGGTGGAAGGAACTTATCTCCAGATGAAACTTTGGACTTAGACTTTAGATTTGGAACTTTTGAATTAATGCCAGGGCAAGTTAAGATTTGGGGGTACTATAGAGAAAGCATGATTGTATTTCACAGCATGAGAAGGACATGAGATTTGAGGGGTGGAGAAGAGGAGTGGAATGATATAGTTTGGGTATTTGTCCATGCCCATATCTCACGTTGAATTGTAATCCCCAATGTTGGAGATGGGGCCTGATGGGAGGTGTTTGGGTCATGCAGGGAGGCAGATCCCCAGGGCTTGGTGTAGTTCTCATGATAGCGAGTGAGATCTGGCAAAATTTCGTTGTTGTAAAGTGTGACACCACCCCCGCCCTGACACACATTGCTCTATCTTGCTCTTGCTTTCACCCTATGAAGTGCCTTCTCTTTTGCCTTCCATTATGAGTAAAGAAGGTACAAGCATGGCACTGGAATGTACTTCAGGTTGTAATCTGTGAGACGGGCTCATTTATTTAAAAAAAAAAAAAAAACGAAAAGGAGATTTAATTGGTTCATGGTTTGGCAGGCTTTACAACATGGCACTGGTATCTGCTTGGCTTCTGGGGAACTGGCTTCTGGGAAGCATGAATGGCCTAATATGCCCAGCTTCTTACAGATTTCTTACATTCAGTCTTGTCTACCACCCAATCTACTGAGCCACTTCCTGTGGCTCCAACAACCTCCCACTATGACATGGTATTTTTTCTCTCCTGTATGGTTACAGAGCAGTTATAATTCAAGATTTATGAACTTTTGAAGTTCATTCTTCTGATGATGATTGGAACACATGCATGAGTTTCCACTAATGTTCCATTTTGTAGAATAGGACTTCCATTTTTATTTTGACTTCCATTTTCATTCTTGTTCTAGAAGTCTTCATGATTTTCTAGACCCTTCCTAAGAAGAGTTTCCTTTGACTCAGACTGTCCTGCCTCTCTGGAGATGAGGCATTATTATCCAGAGCACAATCTTAGTGCCTATGATCTTTCTATCTGCACACAAGCTTCCCTAATGACATCTGTTTGGATTTCTGTGTTCTACTTGTACATTACTTTGTGCCCACCTCCAGGGGAACTCAGCTACTAGAAGTTAAACCAACCAAACCCATGGATGAATATTTTGGTAAATAGTACTTGTTGAATGAAGGAATAAAACATTTATTTATTTATTATTTACAACATGTGAGCTTGTAAATAATAAACAGACATTGTGTCATATTCTAAAGCTATGGAGATAAGATACAGAACCTACAATCAACAACTACAGTCTCAAAGGGAAAACAGTAAGGAAACAGACAATTATAGTGATTTATAACTATAAGTATCAGAAGTATTCAGAAACACCATGAGCATAGAGAGGAAAAGCCCAAGTCTTCTTATGAAAGTGAGGGTGGGCATCACAGAGGTGAGGTTCGAGTGAAACTGTAAAGGTGACATAGGAGTATACTAGATGAACTAAATGGTTGCTGGGAAAAACGGGACTGGGTGAAGGTACACAGATTGGAGGCAGTGGGAACAGTGTTTGTAAAAGCCTGGGATATACAACAACATGGTATATCTAAGGTATAATAACCCTGGATGTTTTGCTTAGGAGTTTGACTTTTATCTTATAGGCCAAAAACAGCAAATAAAATTAATCTGGAGGGCCTACAGACCCCTGCCTCTCACGATATTCAGTAATGTATATTGTGGATGAGGAAGACAGGACTGTGAATCAAATGCTGTCTGTTTGCAATCTAAGCATAGATAAATTTGAGCCACTGAAGGATTTTATTAATCTGTAAATAATGTACCTGCAAGTTTCTGTCTTGCCACTCCAAGTAGGAGAGCTTCCTTAAGATCTAGCCCGGCCTCATGGGCATATTTAGTGACTATGTCAGGACCTTTATCTTTCCAGACTTTTTTTTTTTTGACAAAGTCTCACTCTGTCACCCAGGCTGGAGTGTAATGGCACCATCTCAGCACTGCAACCTCTACCTCCCAGGTTCAAGAGGTTCTCCCACCTCAGCCTCCCAAGTAGCTGGGACTACAGGCACCCGCCATCACATCTGGCTAATTTGTTTTTGTAGTTTTAGTAGAGATGGGACGTCATCATGTTGGCCAGGCTGGTCTCAAACTCCTGACCTCAAGTGATCCGCCCCCTCGACCTCCCAACATGCTGGGATTACATGTGTGAGCCACCATGCCTGGTCCAGACATTTTTAATTGCAAGTAATCAGCCTGTAGATTTCCTTGAAGATTTTGATACTTGCCCTCGAAGAATATTAAATTATGGAAGAGGAATAAGTAAAAAAAATATATGAATAGTGTGATAAGCCATAATAGAGGTACATTCTTAAAAGCCTGCAACACAGAGCAGAGAGAAAAAACTCTACCTGGATGATTAGAGAACTCTTTATCAAGTAAATAATACAAGAGCCTTGCATGACAAGTTAGAACTCTTAGAGGTGGAGAAGGGAATTTGCAGAAGAGGAAACAGCCTGAGCTAAAAGCACTAGCGTGGGGGCGTCTGTGGTCTATTCAGGAAACAGGAGAGAGTTTTGTATTGACAAGGTGGTGGTGAACCAGGACTGGTGGCAGATATACAACTGTAAAGGCAGGTTGAGGCAATTGTGAAAAACTTGTATAACATGCTTTGAGCAGAACTGTTTCTTAGACACACCTCTGATGTGGTAAGGAGAACAGGCTCTAAGTTAGCATGGAGACAGAGAGAGTAGTTTAAAATCCAGTTAAGGCAATCAGAGCAGAGAAGCTGATCTGGAAGTAAGAGCATGCACCCTCTATCCTGCTGCCTGAGAAAAATGCAGAAGTCCGGGTTGGAGTTATAGTTCCATTGCAAACAGCCTACGATTCAGACTGCGGGAACACCTCAAGCAATCTCAGCCTGATAGAGCTGCCAGTGCCCTCTGATGGTGGCCCATTTGATGGCCAGAAATCAAGGCACCATCTAATTCCTCTTCCCTATCCCAAGGTCTTACCAAATGCTTGTCTGCTGTGATAACTGCTGGAGCCACAGATCTTCAAGACATTAGTCTTTCAATCGAAAAGCTCATAGTCTCGTCATCCTGATGTAAGACACAGAGATGAGCCCATCATTATAACATGTTTGGTCTGTGCAATAAGAAAAATATGCATAAGACAGTTTGTATAGAAGGATGATTAACTCAGGACTCGGGGGCTTTGTTGGTGGTTTGGTCTCTAGGTTGGTGGTGAAAATATACTCATAGAAGATGTAATTGGCCTCTGAAATAAGATTAGGACTTCAGAAAGTAATTGATAGGAAGGCTTTCATTAAGACCAACATGGGTTATTTGGAAAACTGAAAGTAAGTCTCTGTTCTAGAAGCGTCCACAGTTGGCACAGATTTTGCAGTGGCTCTTCTGTGGAAGTCTTAATGATACTCAATGCTTCCTACAGTGCTTCACTCAGCAAATATGTATTAGGCATCTTCTACAGGCCAAGCCCTCTGGTCAGCAATGTGGTATAGGACCCCCAAGGTGCTTACGGCCAAGCGTTAAGACAGGCGTTCAGACAGAAGGATATGAAGGGGTACTTTCTTTAAAGTTCAAGTTGTACACAAGTAGCAGTTGGCAGCAAAGCGAAACAGGCTTTACATGGAAGGGGGCAGTCAAGGAACGCTTCCCAGAGAAGGAAGTGCTTGAATCGAACTTTGAAGAACAAATGAGTAGGAATTTCCCAGATGACAGTCCAGGAAAGGTGTAGCATCTTTGTTTCTGTGATATGGCTCCAGATGAGTGTCTTCCTGCCTCTATGGTCATGTCATCGCTGCTCTTCTCTTCCGGCTCCTCTTCTTCCCACCCCTGCTGTGATTGATCCCTCAAGGTTCTGTGCTCAGTCCTTCCACTAGTTCTCGGATTTGTCCTTTCCCTCCATGTCTTCATTCACATCCATGACTTCCACTAACACTTGTGAGCTTCAAACTTCTTAGTAAGTAAAGACCCCACATTGTCAAGTATGGGATATTTTACCCAGGAAGTCAGCCTATCTCTAATGAAACATGCTCCAAAAATAACTTACTGTCATCTCTGTTGTCCCACCCATCTTTTTGTGGCCTGATTTTATAAGTCAAGAACCTTGAAGAGATCCTTAGCTTGCTTCCTTTCTATTCCCAACATCTAGTGCCTCTCCAAGTTCTGCAGTGCTCTTAAATTCTTCTTTCTGTGTCCACTACTAATGCCTTAAATGGGTCCCTCATAATCTCCTGCCTGGCTGATTGCAGTCACCTCCTAATCTGTCTCTCTATTTCCAGCTCACGCTCTAAACCTATCCTTCCTCACTACTGCTAAGGTGGTATTTCTAATCAGCAAGTCTGATTTTGGATCATATCCCACTTCACCACACCCCTACTGCTTATGATATTCCTGTATTCGTGATAACCTTTGGAATTAGGTCTCAGTGCCTTAGAGTGGTAGACAAACCTCTCCTGCTAACCTCACCAGTAGCTTTATCTGTTGTCCTCTCCCTCCAGGAATTCTCCAGGAATTCTAAATGGATTGTAGATCTCCCAAAACATCATGTTGTTTCATACTTTCTTGCCTTGAAATGCTATCACCTAGAATGTTTTCCCTCTCACTCTTTCCACGTGACACTGTCGCGTCCCCTTCCTTGACTCTCCCTTCTGGATAGATGGCCACTTTCTTTTCTGGACTGCTTCTGGACCAGGTATTCTGAACTATCTATTATAATGCCGCTTTGCAAAAATCAAAGCAGCAATATGGCATAGTAGTTAGGAAAAAGCAACCAAATCCTAGTTCTGACACTTACCGGTGTGAACTTAGGCAAGTTATTTAATCTCTCCTTGGCTTAATTTCTATAAAACTCACCTATAAAATGGAAATGATAATAGTATCTGCCCCATAAAGTTATTGTCCAGTTAATGTATATAAAGCGCTTTAAACAAAAAAGTACTTGGCTTAGAGTAAGAGTTACATAAGAATTTGCTGATTGCCAACTGTGAGCATCTCGATTTGAGGAAATTATATCTTATTCATCTCCATGTTCCCAGGGCCCAGGGCCCAGCACCAGTGCCTTACACAGAGTATATGTGGAACAAATGTTTGTTTACAGAGCAACGACTGAATCTCTGGCTTTTCCTTTCCCTTGGTGTAAGACCCAGTAAATCCCAAAGTCATGCTGATTTTCCTTTCCAATGTCCTCCACATTGATTTCTTTTTTCCTATGGTAAGTGTCACAGCTCTTTCATTTATTCAGCAAAAAGTTATTAGTCAACAGTGTGCAAGGCATCCTAATTGCTAGAGATAACCGCTATAAACAAGACAGATTCCTTCTGCTTATGGACATTGCATTCTAACAGAGGACACAGACGTGAAATAACAGCACGTTAATTACCTGATCAAAAGAGTGATATATATAATAGGAGTCTTGGGGAGGTCAAAAAATTTCTCTTAGATAAAAACTTTGACTAATATATTTTTAAAAACTAGAAGTAAATAGTTAGAATAAGGTGGTAAAAGCTGTGGTGCAGAGTGACCGAGGCAAAGAGAATGGCATGTGTAAAGCTCTGAGGTAGGAAGAAATTTGACATGTAGATTTTTAGTTCCCCATGTGTGGATTATTGCTACAACTCCTACCTGATTTCTGTAAAGAATGATCCTCCCCACTGCTCTCATATTAAACTTTCCCTTATGTAGATTGCCTGCTCAAGAACCTTCCGTGATTCTCCTTTGCCTACTGAATGACATACTAATTCCTGAGTTGTTTTTCATGTCCCAATATAATATGGGTTTCAGTGATTATCCAATTTTATCTTCCACAAATCATCTACATCTATACTCACCATAGCCATCATGAACTACTTGATATTCTCCACACGTTCTTTATGTTTTCCTACCTTTCCACCTTCGTTCAGATTGTTATTGCTACCAAAATGCCTTTCTTCTCTGTTCCCATCCATGCTTGTTTCACAAAAAAAAAAATCCATTTGTTATATATGTGATGTGCCTTGATATTTTCTATTCTAGTCTATTACATTCTAGTTCAGTTTTTAAGACAAGTAAGCAAGATGTAACCCACAGAAGTGATTTCATAACTCACGAATGGATCTTGACCCAGGATTGAAAACATTGTCCTAAATAGCTTTAAAGATTTTTTTCATGACCTATGATTCTTGAAGAGAGTTGGCTTTAGTAGAGTCAAAATTTTCTTCTAGCAGTAGAATCCTCTAACCAGCTACATCTGGATTATTAGGCTTCTGTATTTTCTGAAGACAGGACAGTCTTCAGAGAATTCGGCCTGAATGCATGATCAATGGGGAAGGAAATCATACAGATCCAAAGCACTCTGAGGATGCTTAGTAATACATCTTAATTTGTAGGTGATATCACACTTTGCTATTTCAGTCCTGCCAATGATCTGAAGTTGCTAATTGTATTGAACTGTTCCGGATCACATATTGGGCAAAGATGAACATGGGAGAGTACTTGTCCCAGCTGAAATTGAGAAAAAAAAATCCTCTTAGCAAATAAATCCATAGCAACTAGATGCAGCTGTAGCTCATGTTATGGCCCATCATCTCTTTCTCTAAGACAGAGAACCTGGGCATCGGCCCCCCTTCTTTAAATAAACTACCACCAAGCCTCTTGACTTTATATCCTACAAGTGTCTCCGATCTGTCTTCCTCTCTCCAACTTCCCTGCCTCTCCTGGAGTTCAAGCCTCCTAAATGTTTATTTTGCGATCTTTCTTAGTGTTTCACACAGTGAAAGATCTATTGTGCTATCCTCCTACTAAGAACCATTCAGTTATCCCCTGTTTGTTCCCTTAGGAGAGGGTCCAGTGGATAGTACATAAAACTGCTTGCAAAGCCCTTCCTAATCTATCCTCAGTAAGCTCTCCTGTCTCATTCTTACTCCCTTCTTTCTTCTTTTCCTCCTCCTTGTCTTCTCTCCCTCCATTCATCTTCTACCTGCTGATCATTAAAAACAAAAAGCTTTGTGCCTCAAACACTTCATGTTTGTTTTCTTTGGTTTGGTTTTCTGGTCTAGAACATTCCCTTCTTTATTAGACAACTCTTATCCTTACTTCAAAACACATCTTGGATATTTCATTCCTTGAGTCTTCTAAGTCAAAGCTATGAGACTCTCTCCTGTCCTCCCTTAATTCCCTATATAGTTCACCATTACACTATATCAAAATTATCCATTCACTTCACTTCAACAGTGTGAAAGCAGGACTTTTTCAGCACAATATCTCTATTGCCTATCACACAATAGGAGGACCCTGCAGTGTCCAGCTAAGCTGGTGACTTGGAGATAAATCTGCCTAAGCCTGGGATGAAGTATCTGTGAACTATTTTGACAGCAGATGTAAGTCATGATCTCTAAAGAACTTACCAGTTACTATTAATATTTTTTTTATTTAGTATGTTTAAATCTCCATTTGTTTTATGTATCTCATTTCATAAGTTCAAGAGTGGGTGAAAAAAAGAGGTGCTAATTTTGGTTCCCTAAAATTCCAATATTTCAGGGTAATCTCTCTTAGACACTAAATTTTACTTCTTACCAGGCCCACCCTGGCCAATATATAGATCCTCAGATGAATGGGGCTTTCACAACAGTTTTATTCATTTATTCTCAATCATCCACTTTTCATTGATTAAACAACTACTAAGTGCTAGATACTGGAAATTCTAGATGATTAATATGTCATCCCTCCCCTCAAGACCTAGTCCCTGAGCTCCAAGGAGGGAAGGGAACAAACAGGTAAGCTATTATGAAATAGAAGTTCTTATGTAAACTTTAACAGCCAAAGAGTTCCACAGAAGCATAAAAATGTTCAGAAATGAGAGTTTGCTTTCTGGAAGAAAAAAAACAAGTTTTACGAATGATAAATATTCTGAGAGGGAAACACACAGTAAGCTGCAGATACCATACAGAGAAGTTTGTTTTTGTTTTTTTGCTAATGGAACCATGAAGATTGTCATTGTATCAGCTCACATTTAGTCAGTGCTATTTCAGTTAATTCTAATTGATTCTTTTCTCTTTAAGTTTTATTTATGTTTGATTGACACACAATGATTGTGCAAATTTATGGAGTAAAATGTAAATGTTTCCCTTTATAACTGAAAAGCGACTAGCCTAGCAAAGTCTACGCATTTCTTCAAAGGCATAAAAGCAAACATAGCCAAGGTGATGCAGCGTTTAGTCATGGGTGGTCAACACTTACAGGTTGTGCTGATTATTAAACTTTGAATGTTAATGTGGACGCTGCTAATGCTAACACCAGAAAATTAGAAATGCATTCTGAAGGATTTTTGACTTAAGCAAAATTAGAAATGAGCAAAACCTTTCTGGACAGAATGATTCTACAATTTTAACAAGCCAAAAATTATTCAAAATGCATCTCTAAGGCTTTTGCATAAGTATTTAGGACCTCTTTGAATTTCTTGCTATTCCTTTAACATGTTTGTTTTATAATACATTATCCCTTTGCAGTTCTTTCTAGATGGAATAACTCCCTGCCCTTCAGGTGCCCAGTAAACTTAATTGTCACTTCTGTGAAGCATTATAACAAGATCAGTGGGAATCCCTTAGGCTGAATTAATAACTCCCCACTCCTAGTGGCCATACCACTATGTGACTTTCCTTTTAAATTGTTCTTACTCCATTATAGTATTCTTTGTAGAAGTGTCTCTGTTCCCTAACAGACTGTGTAAATTACTCAATAATTCCTTAGCTACAGGACCCAACAGTGCCTTATATAAATTTCCATATAGGCAGGTTTAATGGATGAATCATTCTACATTTTTCTTGGCCTCTTCTGTGTCACCATAGTACTAAGTCTCTGTTCTCTTTCATGGTCTTTTCTTCTCCAGTTTGAAAAACTTTATGATATACAATAAGGTCTCACATAACATCATTGGTCGATTCTTGAAAACTGCAACTTTAAGTGAAACGATGACTACTGAAGTCAATTTTACCATAGGATAATTAATTTAAGAAAGAGACAAATATTTATGGCGTATATCTGCTCACAAAAATGTCACCAAACTTCTAAATAAAAAACAAAACCCTTCTAACCTTAAACCTTGAGATAAATGTAAGGTATACATTCATTTAAGAAAGATTAATACAAGCAAGAAAGATAATTATTTACCCTATTATTTCAGTTCATGGTCTCAGGTGGCCAAAGTCCTTCCCAGCATCTCAGGTAGCCAAGCAGAAACCCACTCTGGACATAACAATGTGCAAACTCCACACAGACAGAAAGCCCCAATGGAGAATCACATTTTTTTTCTTATCAATGTTATTAAGAAGCAAAGTTGAATAAAATGACATTGAATAAAATATTATTTGAGTGCCTGTTATACATTATTTTAAAATTCTAATCTCACAATTAGAATATATACTATTTTCAATGAGTTACAAAATTATCTTAGAAAAAAATAGGAGTTCTAGTTGTAAGAGCCCTTTTTGTTAGTTTGGGACAATCACTTTACTTGTCTTGACTTCAGTTTCCTCATCCAAATAATGAGGACATTACCAAATGATATGCAAATCCAGCGCCCACTCCCCCCCACCCACTCTAATACTACGGTCCCATACTCTTTCTGAATTCATGAAAAACGGATAGTCTAGGTCACATAATTGTACACTTAATTAACAGTTGTATTATCTTGTATTGTCTTGACTCATTTCTTCTTTCTTTGATCTTCCTCAAAAACACATAACCAAATTGTAAGTTCTTTGATGTCTGAAGAACTCGGAAAGTCAAACCAATACAGATTCAAGTCCTGACTCTGCCATACGAAACGTCTTTCTTGGCAACTTCCTCAACATGGCTAAGGTTCAGTTTCTCATGAGTAAAATGGGAATAATAATAATAGTACTTTTTAAATACAGTCATAGTTAGCCTCCTTCTGCATTCGTTACAAGTTCCTGCAATTGGCATTTGTGTAAGAATGCAAGGTCTTAATAACACAAATACGTTCACTGGTGAATTAATCACTAGCCTGTGTTTTCATCTATTATGTCAAAGCATTTTTATCTGTTTCTTGCTGATTACCAGATACTGTAAATACCTAATAATACAATAAAATTACAGTGCCAAGTACATATAGTGCCAACTAAAATTGTAAATCTTGCAATATATGCAAATCTTCATGAAGTTGATAAAAAGAGCCAAATAATTGTAAGGCACACAGGTGAAGCCATTGACAAATTGAAAAAAAGAAAACTAATGAGAATATGACAGACTAGGCACCATAAAGACACTGAATGGAAAATGGTGATTAAATAGATACATGACTCCAACATTTTTCACAAAACTAAAATTGTGGCAAATCTTTAAAAAGGATATTGTTTTGTATTGTTATGCAAATGCTCGAAATTAATTATTTAATTCATTCTTTGCTCTTTCTAAGGAATAATTTATGGAAGTAATGAGCAAAAGGATGAAATTCAGCATGAGAATAGGAGCATCTCACAGTGGGCGCTACAGAGAAAGCAGGGGACAGTGAGAAGCAGCAAAGGCAGCCCACTCCTGATTCTCAGTTCTGACACAGGCCAACTCTGGTGCTTACCCTTAGCAGCAAAATGAGAAAGCAGTGGGGAAAAACTCAAGGCGGATCATTGAACTCTGTGTGTCTGACACCTAACACCTTATTGAAGTTTCAACCTAAGCAAGTCTATTCAAATATTTAAAAAAAAAACTAATAATTTTTAAACTTCCATGAAACCTTAGTGAACATCATTTATATATCATTTTGCAATAAATAAAAGTAATTTTATTGCGTTGTGTTCAACGAATAACTCTGGTTAGTTGGTTAGGTGGTTAGAACAGATATTACCTCTATTTTACTGCTGAAAAACCAAATGTTGGTAGGAGCTTACTCAGGTACTCAGAGAAAGAACACAGGTCCTGGACTCTAGGGCATATTGATAAAAATGTTTTATGTCATTTCCATCTGACCAGTAATGTCGTTCAAATTCTCATTATAATCTTTTTAGGGTTTATTTGGTTGATCCCAATTTTCTGAAAGATAAGAAATCTGAGGTTTGAAGACATTCAATAAACTGGCCCAGACTCAGTGGTAAATGTCAGTTTCCTAATTCCACAGTCCCTGCTTTTTCCAGGACACTCTCCCCTTTCACTATGTCAGGTTGTTTGCTAAAACTCAGGATCAAATGTCTTTATTAATAATAGGAAAACTATACCCACAGAAATGAGGTTTTCAGAGAATAATAGAATTTTAGAAAGTTCATCTTAGAAAAAGTGACTGCAGTTCATACCTCAATTATAATTACTGGTACATTTAGGAACTAAAGTTTAAAAGTGATGCATTTGTTTCAACGTTGTTTCCTTTTTCTGTGTGCTTTCTATAGATGATACTAAAGAGCAGTGAAATAACCAAAAGCTATGTCATGCCAAAAACAAACAGAAAGAATCTGTGTTTTGTATTAATTCCTGAGCTCAGTAGATCATTGCCTCTATCATCCCATTTTACCAACTGAGATGTGAACTATAAAGAGATTAAGTGAACTTTCTAGGATCACAGAGTTCAAAATCGGCTGAGCAAATATACCAGTGGTTCTTGAGACATTCACTGTATTTTATGTATTTTATGCCTATCTTTTCTCTAAGAATATTGTAGTAAAAATATAAAATTTTGTTTAATAAAGCTATAAAGCAGAATACATAAGCAGAAATTATCCCCAGCAAACTGGCCTGAATTTATGTGCTGTGAATGATGAGTATGTTTCTACTACTATTGCAACTGTAGTCATAAATTATTTGTGAACAAGGGCCAAGAATATATAGTTTAGGTTATATTAAAATTGCAGTTAAGAAAATATTTTCCTTTGGGAGGCTGAGGTGGATCACAAGGTCAGGAGATCAAGACCATCCTGGCTAACATGGTTGAAACCCCGTCTCTACTAAAAATACAAAAAATTAGCCAGGCATGGTGGCGGGCGCCTGTAGTCCCAGCTACTCAGGAGGCTGAGGCAGGAGAATGGCGTGAATCCGGGAGGTGGAGCTTGCAGTGAGCCGAGATCACGCCACTACACTCGAGCCTGGGTGACAGAGTGAGACTCTGTCTCAAAAAATAAATAAATAAATAAATAAATAAATAAAAATAAGTGAAATCCAAACACAAGAAATCCATGCTAATCCATATCAAAAAGAAAAAGAAAACTAAGAACAAAAAATCTTGAAAGCACCAGGAAATAAATGACACCTTAACTATCAGGGGAAAAAACAGTTTGAGTGACAGTGGATTTCTCATTAGAATTCACAATGATCAAAAGGAAATGGTACAACAAATTTCAAGTCCTGAAAGAAAAGAACTGTCAAACCCAAATTTTGTATCTGGCAACATTTTCCTTCAGAAATGAAAAGGAAATAAATGCATTTTCAGATTAATGAAAATTAAGAGAATTTTTCACAAGCCACATACATTAAAACAATGGCTAAAGAAACCCCTTGAAAGCGAATGGAAATGATTAAAGAAGGAATCTTAAAACATCAAGAACAAATATAAGTAATACAAAAGACGTTCCTTCTGCTCTTGTGTGTTCTAAATTTAGTTTAGTAGTCAAAGCTAAAAGTACAATATTTTCCGATACGAATCTAAATGTATGTAGAGAAAATATTTAAGACAACAATATTTTAAATGGGTTGGGGAGATGGGTACAGAGACTTAAAAGAAGGCAAGTTTTCTACATTGGACATAAATTGGTAAAATATTAACACCAACAAATCTTTATGGTGATGGAAGAATTCCATATCTTGCTTCTAGCAGTTGTTACAGGAATGCATACATATACAAAAATGGCATAGAACTATACACCACATTGTACCAATGTCAATTTCCCGGTTTTAACATTGTACTATAGTTAATATAAGATGTAACCCCTGGGAGAAAGTGAGTGAAGAGTGCCCAAAAACTATCCATTTTGCAAATTATGAATCCACAACTATTTCAAAATAAAAAGTAAAAAAAAAAGCTTTTAAAAAATTCTTATTAAGTCACATTCTGAAACACCTTCTAACCTTAAAAAATTGAAAAACAAAAACCATAATAAAGAGTTGGTATAAAATTACAGAGCAAATGTCTTCAGTAATTGATTGTTTTGCTTCAGTTAAGTTTTGGATCATCATTTGTGACCTATTTGAATTGCGGAAATGCAATTCTATTTTGATGCTGATGTTACTATCAATGTCTAGTTTTTTCTTTTTTGTTAGATGGAGTTTCGCTTTTGTTGCCCAGGTTGGAGTGCAATGGCGCAATATCGACTCACTGCAAGTTCCACCTCAGCGGCTCAAGTGATTCTCCTGCCTCAGCCGACCAAGTAGCTGGGATTACAGGCGCCTGCCACCACACCCAGCTAATTTTTTTATAGCTTTTTTATGTCTTCAATAATCTCATTGTATAAAAGCTAATGAGTTATCTTGGCTAGGTCATAAAGATAACTGAAAACTTTGTTAACAGCTCCTAAATAAAAATATTATTTATAATCTTCAGCTATCAGGGTATAGTGATAAACACCTTGGAAGTTTACAAGCATTTTTTCTCTTTCAGAGAAGTGAAAAAACTAGCATAAGAGTCTCTGGATCTCTTAGTGGCACAACTAGATAGTGGCATCAAGCTGCGAAACATCCAGGCCGTATTACCAAACTTTTTGATCTACCGTGAAAATCCTTCTTGTCCTTTTAATCGGTAGTAAACATTGTTTTGGAAACTCTGAAAGCCCATATCGCTTCTCTCAGAACTGACCACACATCCTCAATGCAACTCTATTTGGATTATACAATCTCCACTGGTCTCATTGGACTAATTAATATGATTGTCTCTCCAGATAATTGAGAATTATGACCCACAGAATCAAACTGGGTAAACTTAAGGTTCTATGTTGCCAATTGGCTACTGTTACTACTTTCGGATTTTGTCAATGATGAGATATTCCAAACATACAGAAAACACCAGTTTGCTCCCTTCCTTGAATGAACAGAGATTAATACTCTGTCATAATTGTTTCAAATTTCTTTTTCCCTAAAAATTATAAAAACTTTGATATAGACACAAAATTAAAGTAGTACTAGATATACCAATCGCCGAGATAAAACAGTTATCAAGATTTTGTCACATTCACAGAACCTATTTATTTATTTATTTTTAAAATTACAATAGAAAACACATTTTAACATAACTTGTTTAACATGAAAATTATCTTGACCATTTCTAAGTGTATAGTTCAATAGTGTTAACAACAGTCAAATTGTTGTGCAGTAGATCTCTAAAAACTTTTCATGTTGCAAAACTGAAACTCTATACCCATTGAGAAACAACCCTCTATTTCCCCTTCCTCACAGCCCCTGACATCCACAATTCTGCTTTCTATTAGTTGGACCAATTTAGATGCCTTATACAGGTGAAATCATACAGTGTTGGTCTTTTTGTGATTGGCTTATTTTACTTAGTATAATGTCTTCAGGGTTCATCAATGTTATAGCATATGACAAAATTTCCTTCTCTTTTTAGGCTAACATTCCACTGTATCTATACACTCCATTCTCTGTATCCATTTATATGTCAATGGATATTTGGGTTGCTTTCACCTCTTGGCTATTGTGAATAATGCTGTAATGAACATGGATATGAAAATATATCATCAAGAGTCTGTCTTCAATTCTACTGGATATGTACCCAGAAGTGGGATTTCTGGAACATATGGTAACTGCATTTTTTAATTTCCTGAGGAAACTCTATACTGTTTTTCATGGTGGCTGCACTGTCAATTCCCATTGACAATGCACAAGAATTGCAATTTCTCCTCATTCCAATACCATTTGCTATTTTCTGTTTTTGTAACAGTGGCCATGTGTATTAGTCCATTCTCACACTGCTATAAAGAACTACATGAGACTGGGTAATTGAAGAAAAGAGTTTTGACTCACAGTTCCATAGGCTGTACAGAAGCATGTTTGGGAGGCCTCAGGAAATTTACAATTATGTCAGAATGCAAAGGGGAAGCAAGCACATTTTACCATGGTGCAGCAGGATAGAGACAGAGAGAAGGGGGAAGTGTGCCACACAACTTTAAACCATCAGATCTCATGAGACCACACTATCACGAGAACAGCAAGGGGGAAATCTGCCCCCATGAGCCAATCACCTCCCACAAGGTCCTTCCTCTGACATGTGGGGATTACAATTTGGCATGAGATTTGGGTGGGGACACAGAGCCAAACCATATCGCCACCTTGATGGGTGATATCTCAATATAGTTCTGATTTGCATTTCTCTAATGGTTAGTGACATTGAATATCTTGTCACTTGTTAGCCATTTATAAATCTTTGGAGAAATACCTGTTTGAAGCTTTTACCTATTTTTAACTAGGTTATTTGCTTGTCGTTAAATTATAGGCATTCTTTATATACTCTGAATATAACTCCTTATCAGATACCTGATTTAGAAATATTTTCTCCCATCTAGTAGGTTACTTTTTCACTCTACTGATTGTTTCCTTTCAGGTGCAAAAGGCTTTAAGTTTGATGTACTCTCATTTGTCTATTTTTGCTTTTGTTGCCTGTGGTTTTGGTGTCATATCCAAGAAAACATTGCCAAATCCACTGTTATAAAATTTTTCTCCTGTGTTCTTATTGCAGTTTTATATTTTAAGGTCTTATGCTTAGGTCTTTAATTCATTTTGAGTTTATTTTCGTATATTGTGTAAAGTAAGGATCTGACTTCATTCTTTTACATGTGGATATCCAGTTTTCTTAACACCATTTGTTAACAGTACTACCCTTTAAGACTATTGTATGGTTTTGGCACTCTTGTCAAAGATCGATTGATTGATTGATTGTGTGCACAAGGGTTTATCTGGGACCTCTATTCTATTCTATTGATCCATATGTCTGTCCTTATGTCAGTACCACACTGTTTAGATTACTGTAACTTGGATCACTTAACCTATTTTTTAAAACATGTTTTTTCTTTTTCTTATTTGAAGTATTTTTCAGCAAATATCAGATGGTATTACTTTACCCCATCATAATTCAGTATAACTCTAAAAATTATGATCCACTACAAAACCACAATATTATTATCACTCATAATGTTTCTTTGGCATAATCTTACACCTGGTCTTAACCAAATGTATGGATTTTCTCAAAACTGTGTTTTTGGTTTATTTGAATTAAAATCTAAACAAGGTCCACATTTTAATGTTTGTTTTTTAGGTCACTCTTAATTTAGAGTAGTTCTTCCTCTGCCCCCTTTTCCTCCAACCATTGACTTATAGAAATTAGTTTAGTTGTTCTATAGAATGCCTCCCATTCTGGATTTCTCTAATCCTTTATTATGTCATTTAACACTAAATGGAAATTAGCTAGTGGCTTAATTGCGTGGTCATTTAATTATAAATTTAAATTAACCTAGAACCATCATCTTTTCATGTCTGCAAGCAGTTTTTTATTCTTATCTGCAAATTGAAGATTCTGAGGACTTTTCCCAGTTTCACTGGGCATTCTCACATGTCTTGCCATGTTTCCACCCAAGGAATATAGGATCTTCTTCTTTTAGTAGATGTTTGTAGAAAATTTTTTTATACCCCAAGTTTGTGGCATACATAAGTTGTCCCTATTCATTTTTCAGTATTCCTGCCACACAACTTCGTTCTTGTTCTTGTTATACTGCTGTAAGTGATTTACCACTCCTGTTCATAATCTGAAATTTATGGGAATTTATTGCCTTCGACTTTTATTTAAGACATTAACAGTGCATTCATTATTGGCTATCCTAATTGATTTGTTTGTTTTCCAGGAGGAATTGTGGGGAAATTAAAACCTGCCTTTCTGCCAGGATCACATCACTGGATGCTCCATGACTCTCTTTTTGTAAAAGAAAAAAAAAAAATCACAGAAACACCCCCCCGTCCCAAACTAGTCTCTTTTACTTCTTCCCCCAAGCCCACCCCCAAATATAACTGTTATCCAGAAGCTGTTATGTACTGTTTCCATACATGTTTTTGTACTTTTGCTATATCTATATACATCAATTAAATTTATGTCCTATTGTTGTGAATTTATATTTGCATATACATTTTCATATTATATGTATAATTTGCATTTTTGTTTTTTTATTCAAAATTATGTTTCTTGAGATTTATCCATATTGAAACATAGATAAATTTTATTGTTAATTTTAACTGCTATAGAGTATTCCATAATTTGAATAAAGCATAATTTATTTGTACAATCTCCCGCCAAGGGAAAATTATTTCCACTCTCATCATGGCAAGGAATACTGCAAAAACAAAAATTACATTCATACATGTTTGCCTGTACCCATCTGCCTGATTTTCTCTAAAATAAATATCTAGGAGTGGAAGTGCCAGGTCAAAGGGCATATGCTCTTCTTATGCCCACATACACGAGAGTTTTCCCCAAGTATATCTACATCAACATCTATGATGTCTTAATTTTCTACATCCTTGTCTGTATTCGTTTGTTTTCATGCTGCTATGAAGAAATACCCAAAACTGTGTCGTTTATAAAGGCAAGAGGATTAATTGACTTACAGTTTCACAGTTTCACATGGCTGGGGAGGTTTCATGAAACTTACAATCATGGTGGAAGGGGGAGGAAACACGCCCTTCTTCACATGGTGGCAGGAGAGAGAAATGCCAAGCAAAAGCGGGAAAAGCCCCTTATAAAACCATCAGATCTTGTGAGAATGAACTCACCATCATGAGATCAGCATGAGTATAACTGCCCCCATGATTAAATTACCTCCCACCGAGTTCCTCCTATGACAAGTAGGAATTATGGGAACTAAAATTAAAGGCGAGATTTGGGTGGGGACACAGAGCCAAACCATAGCATTGTCAATGTGAAATAGTACTTTATTGTTACTCTACCATATATTTTATTGAACGAAATGTGAGGTTGAGAGCCTTTACAAGTCCTATTAATAACTTTATCTTCTTTTTCTGTGTATGGTCTGTTTATAAAATTGATAATCTCTTGGGTTTTATGTCAATATCTTAATGATTTGTGAGGGTTTAAAAATATATTCTAGACAATGATTCTTTTTGATATTTATTAAATATAATGCATTCTTATAAAATCATCTATGAATTATTTCTCCCTTCCCCCCTCCATTCCCTTTCCTCTGCCTTCATCTCTCTCTATCTCTACATCTACCTCTACCTCTAGCTCTATCTCTAGTTATAGCTCTATCCCTATCCTTATCCCTATCCCTAACTCTAGCTCTAGCTCTAGCTCTACCTTTATCTCTACATGACCTCTACCTCTACATCTAGCTGTATGCCTACCTCCACTTCTAGTACTGGTACCAGCTCTAGCTCTACTTCTATCTCTACCTCTACTTCATCTCTATCCCTAGCTCTCTAGCTCTACCTGTAGTTCTACCTCTAGCTCTAGCTATACTTACATCTCTACCTCATCTCTATATCTAGCTCTAGTTCTAGCTCTACCTCTACATCTAACTGTAGCTCTAGCTCTACCTATCTCTAGCTCTACCTCTACATCTAACTGTAGCTCTAGCTCTACCTATCTCAATCTCTATCTCTATCTCATCTATCTCCATAACCATTTCTCTCCCTACAGTTCAAGATTTTGTTCTTGGAAACAGCCTGGGAAACAGGAAGTTTACTATAATTTCCATTTTCCCAAATCTCCATCTCTAACCACACCTCACCCCTACTACCACCACACAGATTTCTTCATGGAACATCCCTTGTTTGTGAAGCATTGACACTTATGCAAACAGGTATTAAAAGTACAAGTGTCTGGCCAGGCATGGTGGCTCATGCCTGTAATTCCAGCACTTTGGGATATGGATCACAAGGTCAGGAGATCAAGACCGTGCTGGCTAACATAGTGAAACCCTGTCTCTACTAAAAACACAAAAAATTAGCCGGGCGTGGTGGCAAGCGCCTGTAGTCCCAGCTACTCGGGAAGCTGAGGCAGGAGAATCACTTGAACCCGGGAGACGGAGGTTGCAGTGAGCCATGATCACCACTGCACTCCAGCATGGATGACAGAGCAAGACTCCATCTCAAAAACAAAACAAAACAAAACAAAAAACAGTAGAAGTGTCCTGCCTTTATGGACTACCTGTTTGTCAAATATGATCACATTCCATAAATTAGTTTTAAGTTCAGCTGTGGTTTCCCTCCTTTCAGCATGCATATTATCTCTTCCCCTCCTCTGGACCTTTCCTATCCATGTCTTTACTAGGATTATTACATATCTGGTGAGTGCTGTAAACAAAATGTTATGTGTGCAATTAATGCTAATTTAGATGATAGGAAACAGAAATGTTAATTCTAATTACTTTTCAAACATAGCTCATGCATTAATAAGAGAATCTGATGTCACTTCAAGATAATTTGGTTGAGATGATAATGCTAATTTATTGAAATGAGTGGGTGTCATAATCAGTTTGGAAAAAAAGAGAAACATTTCTAAGACATACCAGATCATATTAATACATCACCTCCACACACAAAATTAGTGTTAACATACAAATTCCTCTGGTGCATTCACTAGATCTCAATATTTAAGGAGGCATTGCTTCCTTAAATATTGAGATCTAGTGAATGCACCTTTTAAAACTGTAATATATAGGTCAGAGGGGTTTTTGTTTGTTTTGTTTTCCTATCGTTCTCTTTGACTTTTAACATAGACTAGAGAAATAAAGGTACATGCAAATGCATAGATTTATTTAGATTTCAATTGAAATTTTTCATTATGCTTATTATTTTTAAACATAGGCATCTGCTTGGCTTCATGGGCAAAGCCCTGAATTTCATTCTCTTCTTACTGAAGTTCTTGAAATGAAAGTAATACTTTAATATTCGATAATAATAGCCCAAGAAGGAT